AGAAGACGGCGAACAAATAAAACTATATGTAAGTCTTCTTCGACCAAGCAATATAAAGGAATTGGTGGAAAGTGACTGGCTGAAACTAATGTCTGGTAACAATTTTCATAGCAATATGCAGCTTAAAATAGGCTGTTAGAGATGAGAAGTGCTTCATAATTATCTTACATGAAATTTAAAATTATCCGCTCGGTAAAAGGATCTTTCATTTCATGTTGCATGCTTTTCAGCGAGAGCTTATTAGCATACGATAGTATTCTGAAAGCTAAAAATTGGGATCCTGAAAAGACCGCCCGCTAGCCACCATTGAAATACGAGTGGACGGCTCATCCGCTTATAAATTATGTAGCGAAACGTAATACAAACACAAATTTCGCGGCGCAAATTTTGACGTCGCCCATACATACGTTTTTTTTTAATGAAACGACATTTTTTCGTGGCACAAAAGTCACTAGTCTAGCGCTGTTTTTCAGCTTAGTCAAACCATTTTTTATGACTCTTTACGATGGAATCACGAATATTTCACGTGCGATTTTGAATTCAGCAGGCTCAACGGCAGGTAATTTGGGAGGCTCTTTTATATTTTATGGAAATCTCTAGCATCTGCATGATTTTCCGTTGACAGTGAAGTAACGATGAAGAACGTTTCACATAATTTGAAGCGTTAAGTATTTATCTTATATACACCCCTTGTTCGGATAAAATGGTTAAATCTTCATTTAACTTTCCCCCCGAAGTCTTGAACAATGCGACAACTTGAAGTAAAGAAACCCGAGTAGCACATAGTTGAACAACTAAAATTACATGGCATGTCCCCGAGCTTATCAAGAACCAGCGCTGAACTTAGGCAGGTAGGTGTAACTTAATTTAGACGCCGACGTTCGAAGCCAATCGCGACGACAGTGTTTGCGGAAATTCGTTCGGAGACAAGCGATTTTTTTAGCCGCTGCGAACGTGATGCGAAAGTTATTGAACATAAGCACTACATACGTGGCATGAGAAGCACAAATGAACGAATCTATACCAAACATCAATTTTTATTACTTCGGATATCTAATTATATCTCGATGTATGATATCGTATATATGAGCTGAATAAAAAAAACATACGATAGTTTCATACTTAAAACTTTTTGAATACTCTCTAAAAATTCCACTGTCAAATTATTCGTCGCTCTAATCTCAACGCTTCCAAACAGGTGCACCAACTTCATAGTAAACTATAAAACGGAGCTTGGCGTCATTTGTTTTGTTATGTTGGCTGCGGACTGCCAGCTATGTTTAATGACACGGAAAATTTTCAGGCTCACGGTATCGCGGTCACCCCAACTGTGGCTCGTGCATCGGGAGTCGGAACAACAAAGGTTGACACTGGCACAGATTAAAACTTAAATATACTCTTGTCGTACGCTAATAATATGCGCATCAGGTGCGGATTTTATATTTTGCTTAGGTTATTTTCAAAGTTTTTATCCTTTAACATAACTTTAAGTATCTTAGCTTGCAGAGAAGTATTAAAAATACAAACGTCTTCGCGAACAAAATAGAGTTGCAAAAAAGTAGGAAAGCAACTATTCCCGCTTTCGTAGCCTAGTTAACTTTTCAACTTCATACAAAAATATGCTGCTTCAGGAATATTTTCGAGTCGAGTGCAGGTTTCTTAATAGACTAAATTCTACTTAAGTTCATAAAGACCACGTCCGGCGCCGTTGTGCTTAATCCATGACGTTTTGCTACCCGGTAAGTTTTCGAAACGGATCTTAAAGAGCCGAGACAGCGCTCCTCGATGTGATCCTAAAGTCTCTTTACAGCCAATTTGATTCCTGGTTTTACTTGAACTAGTAGCCGGCACTGCAAGTCCTTTGCATTTATACTGAAAAGGTTAAACAGTTTACGCGTATTTCTCTTTTTATTGTTTTGCTATCGTGCATAAGTATTTAGCTAAAACAAAATTATCAGCAATTTGCAAACAACCAAGTACTAACCTATTGTTTTATATTGTTTAGACTAGATAGCAACAATTGAACGCTATAATAACGGCAACATAATGCTCATTACTGTTAATTTCGTCTACTTATTTGTAAAACACTAAATTTAAAGCGTAATTAACCTACATTATTAAAACACATTTCGGGCAAATGTTCAACAAAATTCAGAAATCGAATAAATTTTTAGGTCCACAATCAAAATCCCAACAAAACGTATCGGCCCAAGTGAACAACTTCCAATGCCGTTCATTTGAACAGACAATATAGAAGCGGGAAAATCTAATCTGCTTCTGAAATTTTCCAACCGACCCTCATTACCATTTGAAGGCGAAGAGAAAAGAAAGAAATATTCTCCATGACGGAAATTTCATGTAAATTGGTTGAAGAACGCGCCTCTAGATTTCTTAAAATTTTCGTTGTACTCACAATTTTATTGTGATTGCAGTCGCAGCGATCTGTCACAGTAGCCAGTTAATTTGCTCGCCACTGTGTTATTTTTATTTAAAAATATATTTGTAACGAGTACCCGACGAGAGAGGTGACCTTTTCAGTGGCGCGTGCCTGAGCATTATTGTTTTTTATTCGACTTAGTTATTTGATTTTTTCTTTACTTTATCCACTTCCCTGGTTTTATTTAATGGTCTGCTTGTCAGATATACTATTAGATTTCAAAATCAATAGCGACCTCCCACACAAAAAGGTGTTCAAACTGTTTAAGCACTTTTCCAGCAATAAAACGTTAGAAGTGTCTCAAATATGTGTCATGTTTAATAATTGTTTCATGTATGCAGCAATTTCGGTAATCATCGAATGCATCAGATTGTTCCAACTTCCATGGGCGAATTGGGTCGTCGGCGTGCGGATGGCTGCGTACATTTCAAGCGCTGTGACGCGGCGGCCACGCGACGTGACCAGCGCGACAATGAGCGACAGAACGCCTTGTTACTTTACTACTTGTCACAAGTATGGGGGACATTGTACAAGTGATTTTTTTTATTATTTTTGTGACAGCTTTTAAAGGTATTCCGGACTATCTGTCTGATCTCCTGGATTTGTGTACAAGCGCAATATAGAATTTACTCATTTTTTTTATTTGAATGTTATCACGCTTTTCTATAGTACTATTTTATAATTTGGTTCTTGCATGAAGTTTACCTCTGATAGGTTCAAGCTCTATATCTGTCAATATATTTTAAACATTAGTAGAGAACGAACGAGTATTTTCAAATCTCTCTGCATTATAAAAATACTTATATTCTCATTTCTTATCTTACTGCTGTTGTACGTCAATACTCGTTAGTTACTACGCTCCAAGAAAAAGTGCCTGATATGAAGAATCTGATCTTGTTTCGTTATGATTGCAAATGTGGGAATACATTCATGAGATACGATGGATGGAGCTTTTCATATACTCTTTCTATACATATGGTCTTATCACCAGTATTCTTGTAGATGATATTGATAAATGTTTACTATTTCTCATATTGCTAAGCATTCCGTACCTACATGATTCTCTCAAACTAGTGTTGAACTTCTGCTCCTAAATTGATCAATAGCAAAATATATCATAATACCTGGCCAGACGCTTTATTTTCCAGTGGAAATAATAGCTGCCCTCTCAACCATAGAATAATGATACGATGTCAAACATAGTTAACAAATTTTATTTAAAACCGATAAAGTTGGCTTCACAGATAACCCTTTCCTGTGTAATTTTAACCATACTCATGATAATACTAATTACAGCCATTCAATTTATTCGGCTACGATTTTCATTAACGTTTATAAAGTTAAATCGAAATAAAACGTTGGAAACGCTCTTTAATTATTTATGGCTGCTTTGCCATTATTGAGTTCACAGACGGAAAATGGTTGTCCGACAGATAATGTACCGCACTTTATTTTTTAATGTTTTTTTTTTAAATTGGATAGGAATAGGCTATCATTATGGCGACTTGAAAATGCCTACCGCTGGGATTAACTGGAAGGAGCGACCGGTTAGAAGTGACTACAATACTTAACGATTAAATCGAAACACAAATCATGATCGCAATGATCGATTCTTCCAGGCTGTTCAGAATCGATTATTACGTTCTCAGTGAAGCAATATTTTAAAGTCACCGACGTTAATCTCGTTAATAGCTTGAGCCACTCTGAGGAATCGAGTTTAAAAATAAACGTAAAGAACCAAGGAATCGATAAGAATTTAAGGCCAAAAACTTGGGAAAGCACTAAAATTTAATATCGGCCGCTAGCAGTTGAGGGGACACCACAGTTTATGGCGGCAATTACTACCCTTCATCTCGGTAATGTCGAAGATTGGTTTGTCTTTTATGGATTTTCGGGAATCGGGGCTAGCACTGATTATTCCAACTTCTTTATAGTGCGCCAATAATTTTGAAATAACGTCGGTGCGCCGACCACTCGGAAAGCTCCAACTGCCATAAAGGACTACATGGGATCAGTTCCCGTCAACCGTCAAGATCTTTCTTTACATTGTCAATCAACGTAAGACTACGTAATACTGTTGAAATTGTCCTTTGTCACTAGTTCTTGGAATTCATCTAAACCTCTTATTTTATTGTTCTATGTAAATATTACAAGCTGTGAGTAAACTTTTATAAAATAATATACGAGTTTACATTGAAGTCCGGCGCTATTTACATTTGTAATTATTTTGTCAAGCGTTGTTTTATTATCATTATACCAATGTTAATTATAGGTATATTTGTTTTAGTGCTTTAATAAAACTTTGTGAAATTATACGATAAAATGGTTGTAGTTAAAATGGTATTTTGATATTATTAGCATATTTTACGAGTTCTTTGATCTCAGATTTCAGATGGTCAAAGAGAATTATTTCTTGGGTTATCAACTCAACAGCGCCGTTTCGAAAATAATATGTTGAATTTCACGTAAAACAATATTTTTATTGAAATTGGACACAAAGTTCCAAAGACTTCTGTGAAGAATCACAATAAATAGTTTTTTTTTATGTAATATGTCGGCAAACGAGCAGACGGATTACCTGATGGTAATCAATCAGCGCCGCCCATCGACACCCACAACAACAGAAGAGTTACAAGTGCGTTGCCAACCTTTAAGGGATTAGGGTTTTGAAGATTTAGGGATTGGGGAAGGGGAATGATTGGGCCTCCGGTAACCTCACTCACACGGCGAAACACAACGCTGTGGTTGTTTCACGCCGGTATTCTGTGAGGCCGTGGTATCACTCCGGTCGAGCCGACCCATTCGTGCCGAAGATTGGCTCTCCCACACTTAAAGGTTTTAGGTTATTTATAAATTACAATACTGTATAATTAAAATTAATGTTCTCCTTTGTCATTTGGTTGCAAGACTAATCATGAGTTCATTTAGCTTCATGATCATGATCAACTTGAGAAGCTTCCGTATTGAGCAAACAATATTGATGTGTACAAGCATATATTGATGTGTACAAGATGATTACTCAGGCATATTCATCAAGCTATCAGTAGATATGTTATAGCTACTTGTAGATAAATATGAATATCAAAAGTAAAGCAAGGTTTTTTAACTTAGTATACTATACTTAACTTTATTGATTAGCTTGCCAATACCTGATTCGCACGGGTCTCCGATCACTTCCACGTCAATCATTTGTTTTAGTGGTTACTATTTCCCAATTTTCGTCTCAATTTTTTTATCATAAGGTCCTTTTTCTGATAAATACAACAAAAAGTCTTGCTGTTCTCCAGATTTTCATTTATTAAGTTACACATTTAACGATTAGACCTATCACTCGGTAAGTCTTGTTCATGTAACTGTCGAAGCTTTAGGAGTCTAAAGCTTCGACTGCAGCTAAATTTTGATCACTAGATCAACAACTTAACTGAAATAAATTGAAGTATCCTAAGCCACCCCGACAGTTATACCTATTTCCAATAAGTTTACATTATTTTCCTCAATCAGCTATGATATTATTGCCCACTATTCCCATGTGACACAATATCACTGTTCAAGAAATCCATACATTTTATGACCCTTTCCAAAAACCCATTTGGCCAATTTTCTTTTGTAGAAAACCTTATCGCATTTCCCCAACAAACACTCAGAGACGTATTACAGGATATTGTACCAATGCATAGATAATAGAAATAGGTAATGTTCAACCCAGATTAATTCCGTATAGAGGTGTGTTCTATTGTATCAAGTAAAGCCCCCATCGCTTGGGCGAGCACACTAGGATATTATCACTATCCAAATTAATTCCAGTCTAGTATCATTTATCTCTGATTCCTGCAATGTGCATATTGCATTAGGCATTAAACCCAATGCAAAGCTATTCCGTAATTAATTAGAGAGCTGTGAAACAATAGTTTGAATATGAAATTGGAGAAATAATACTGCTGTAGTGCCTTTAATCTGGGTATTGTTTGGGGTGGTTTGGTAAAATATTGATATTATAATTAAATACAGTATTAGTTCCATACTTTGTTGCAATATCGATTTCTAATGCAATTTTTTTCTCGTGTATAATTTTATTCTTCAGTTCCAACGATTCATTCAAGTTTTACATTAAATTTATCTAAGAGTGTTGTGAAGGAAAAATATGTATGTAGCAGTGAAATTAGAAAAAATGAGAAAGACAAAGACTCTATAACTTTTAGTCAAGTAACCCTAATAAATTGCGTTCATTTTTTCTTTCATAATAGGTAAGTGTTGACCACATCGGCCGCAGAAGTGCTTACTTTCTGCCTCATTACTTGTAGGTGCCTCACCTCGCCAAAGCTGTATTGGAAGGAAGCAACTCATATATTTAGAGCGGCATTTCGAAAGAATTTTCATTCTTATTTCCCATAACATAAAAGCTAATGTTGTCTGCCATTCAATGTCCTATCCTCGGAAAGGGTTGTCACTTTATATAAAGCTGACGTGGCCACAAACGACAGTTAATGGCGCATAAAATTCACAGTAAGCCTGACACAGTATAATCATTTTACGGTACTGTAATTTCAGGTATTTATTTATGTGTAGAAATACTCTGTGTACAATTTCTCCTTTCAAAGTATACACATTATGTAAACGTTGGTAAATACATAAGAGAATAATAAGATACCTCGTATAATGCGTCTTTTAACCTCACAAGCACCGAGCGTTACATTTGTGCGTACGTGGGAAAGTTGAACTGTGATGACAGTAAAACGGCTTAAAGTATTTAAAACCAAGTAAGCAAACATAATGTGAAATTAACACATACCTCTTTCGCAAAATGGAGTGTAGTTTGGGTTGTTAAGCTTGACTTTGAAGGTAAGATATTTGATCTTGAAGTCTGACTTACATAACAGTGTTTGATGCTGTTAGTCTAAAACGTACTTACCTATAATAGATAAGTTACTTTCTCTCTAATATCAGCCATGGCAGGCTTCCTCATATGTTATTGAATTACAAGCTACGCTGTTTCATGTCCTTTATTATGTATTAATACTAATGTATTACACAGAAATCGACTAGTAATATAATTAATTTATATAATTAAGTTATATAATTAAAATATAATTTTATTCTCAGAATGCCAATCCTTAGAATTAAAGATAGACAGAAGACATAAAACATAATTTTCCTCAGATCGCAAATCAACTTAAAGCCGGCTGTCTTTGTCATATTACCTTAAGGTAAGAAATTCGTTTAAATATTTTTAGAAAATCATATTTTTGGACTAATCCTTAATTTGGATTTAAATTTACTAACATATTTGGTTTACATTACTGATTGTGCTTCTAAAACAGTTACATAATATTCAATAATTTATAATAACTTATGATAAAGCAAAACGCTCTCGAAATCGGACGAGTAATTTCAGAAATAACCACATTCAAACTAATGAATGAACGAGCAAGCAAGCAAACAGTGAAACGAATACAAATAAATGCTCGTAGCACGTGCCATTGTAAATAATGTCAACAGTACAATAGCATAAAGGTGGGTTTAGACTGGAAAGCTGTCATTTTACTAAATCAATGGACTACCTCACTCAACGTACCAGCAATACGGTCCCACAGATACTGTCGCATCTCTTTGAGGTTTACCTTTCACCTTTTGACGTTTTGCCAAGAAATTTCAGCTTCTAAGTCCTTTGGCTATCGTGATATTTTCCATTGGACCCATTATTATCTGACAAAGGATTTTCTTTGCTATTTAGAAGTTGTATTTAACTCTATATATTTGGAATTTTACCTGAGATTTTTACTGTTTCTAAGACGAATTATTTCGTTTTTATTTTTGTTCTTTTTCGTCGTCGCTCTCCTGGGTATCTTATGATACATTTGCTTGGTTGTATTTCTTAGTAGAAAATTTTATATTTATGTTGAAAGGAGATGCTATAGATATCATAATAATAAACGCGATAATGTACTTATATGAAAGTAAATAAAGTAGAAAATTATATATAAAATTGGAATTTTCCTATTAAACCGCTTGATATTAAGTTTAAAAGCATTTGTATGAAATAAGTTCTTCTCAACCGAACCCTTTAAAGAAATGAAAGTGTGATATTACGTTCTGTTTCTTAGCAACAATATTTGTAAGCGCATTAAAGATCAAAGTCGACCGAATAATCAAAATTCTACAAACGATTCCTTTGAAACGCACGTTTCAAATATTATTAAACCAACAGCTATATAATCACGTTCGAATAATCAAAATTTGATTCAATAGAGATTTAGTTTAGACAGACAGATATTAAACAAAAAAATATTTCAAAATATTCACGGTAAATAAAAAATGTACAATATATTACACCACTGAATAATTACATCGTTTTAAAACATCCCTAGCAAATAACCCACCCTGTATAATGTAACAAAATGGTCTATGGCAGTCTGTCGTTATTCACGAACGGTGTAGACGCACGCACAATTTTCCACCGGCCTATTGAGGTGTACGCGTGACCAGATTTCAGAACGACAAAATATTACACCCTGTATACCCACCCACTTATATTTATCAACTAGAAAATATCGAATGTGTCACCATCTGTCGCTAAACCTGAGACAAAGCATTTTCACAATCCATACCGGAGTGAAATATTTCACACAATAATATTTCATGCAATTTTGTGTATATTTTTGTAAACACAGCAAATTGTATATTGCTCCTTGGATACCTGGGATTTCTAGAAGTTTGAACACGTGTCAACTCTTAAGAAATCAATGTAGTGTTAATCATTGAAGTCGTTTTAGTATGAAAATTGATTTCCCTTTTTTATAGAATAGGAGGCAAACGAGCAGACGGATCGCTTGATGGTAATGATCGGCGCCGCCAATGGACACCTGCGGCGCCAGAGGATTCACAGGCACGTTGCCGACCTTCGAAGATGGAGTAAGCTCGTTTCTTGAAGGTTTGAAGGTCGTATCCCTTACACAGACGCAAGCCATACAAAACGTATATTATAATACTAATAACTCAACAATTTCTTTTATTATTGTCTATACTCATAGTTTATTTTGATGGTCCGATCATTATTATAATAAGAAACGAAATGACTACACGTGTTAAGCTGACAGTATTACAAAAAGAAGTAGGTAATGTGAGTAGTCAAAGAAATTAATTAACATACTACTTGTATAAGTTTTTGTACATACCTAGTACTTTTTCTTGACATATAAAAACAGACCTTGTCATTTAACCCTCATCAATACTAACTTGTTTAAAGAAAACCCAGCAAATGTTTATTTCAATTTAGTATACAAATCCCCATAAATCCAGACAGAGTCTCGAAAATTAAAGAAAAAAATGAAAGCCAGTAAAAATTATGCCAAATTGCGAAGACACGACGACTCCTAGAAACCGTCATCAAAATAATGACAATTAACTTTAACTGCTAACTTTACGACTTCTCAAACGAAATTCAGATGAAATTCCCCAAAAGAAATCGCTCGACCGAATCAAAAACTCAAAATTTCTGTTTCAACAAAATGTTTTCGAGTTTGTTCGACACGTAATTACATCATAACAAGTTGATAAATATTCATTGACATCTCGACTAATTTAAAACTCACATAAGCGATGAAAACTCAAATACCAAGTTACGTACAATTTAATGAGAGTTTCTTGTTAAAATACGTACGTTCGTAATAGGAAATTATTTCTTCGGATCTGAGAAATAGAAGATAACGTTCTAGATATAGGGAAACGAAGTATTAGGCAAACATTTCATATAATTAAATTAAATGAATACTGTCTTATATACTTCAGTATTCGAGCGAAGTAGAGGTTGTTAAATATTTCCCTGTCTTTT